AAAAAAATAATTCTTAAAAAAAAAAAAAAAAAAAAAAAAAACCTATCAGGGCCAGCAGGTGGCATGGTGGTTAAAGGCTCTGGACTCCTATATGACCAACCATGGTTCAAAACCTGGACCTGGAGGCTTGGTTTCTCACTTTCTCTTTCTCTCCCCCCCCACCCCGGAATATTAAAATAATAATAAATGAAGCTAAATAAAATAATTCTTTTAAAAAACTATCAACAATTTTTGCACAAAAATAAATTCATATTTTAATTCCATTTTTCCACAAATATTTTGAAGTCCTCTGTACATCCCAAATGTATCCATCCTTTTCTTTTCTTTTTTCAGGTTTTTGCCATAGGGCGCATATGTTCGCCAGAGAGAGACAGAGAAAAAGTGAAAAATCATCCCCCCAGGGGGTATGACCATGCTGCAATCCCTTCTTCTCTATTCTCTTCTTGGGATTTTTGGGAACACACACACACACACACACACACACACACAAAGCTGGTGTGATTTTCCAGCCATCAGATTGTAATAGGCTATTAGCTAGAAATGAGCAGATAGCCCTAAGAAAATGGCAGAAGGATGCCTGCCACATCAATCACAGCTTACCAGGAGCTAAAACCAGACCCTCCATGAAAATGCTTTCTTCCCACCCAGCTCCTGGTGCTGGGAATATGAGGCAGATCTTATTTTCCTTCTTCAGTACCTGAGAAAGGCACATAGGGACAGCTGTTAATTTCCCTTTGTCATTCCTCATACATACAAAAGGACCAACCAGATGTTTTAGTCAACATCCTGATTCCTACTGAGGCAATAAACTAATTGAGCAATTTACCCAAATAAGGACAGTCATCCCTTCTAAATCCACACTGAGTATGCGGGATTAGGTCATTGAATCCTCACCTGTGAGAGAGATGCAAACTCAGGAAAAAACCCAAGAATTCAAACAAAGAAGCCAGAGACTATGACAGACCCTCCTCTGTTAAATATTCATTATCAACTCTTGGAATAAATGTAACACCCAGCCCCATTCTGAATGCAGTTGTCCTTTCCTGGTCACTGCCCACATGCATGCCTTTCAGTCAAGGAAGTGTACTTCTTTCCTATTAAAAATCTTCACTTTCCTGGGACCAGCAGTTAGCGTAATGGCTATGTCGCTGGACTTACAAGTAGTCGACTGCGGTTCGAGTACTGGACCCGGTGGCTTAAACTCACGCAGGGTGCGTGTGCATGTGTGCCCAAGGTCCCAAGAGGAGAAAGGAGGAGAAGGGATTGCAGTGAGGCCGTCCACCCTGGGGGGTTGATTTCTCACTTTCTGTCTCTCTTTCTGGCGAGAGCACACGCCCTATAGCAAAAACCTCTCAAAAAAAAAAAAAAAGAATCTTCACTTTCCTGTTAAAATTACCCTTTTCCTACTTTACAAGTGTTTGTGAATTTTCATTTTGCATCTTAGGATGAGTCTCTAATCTTAGAAATCTGGACCTAAAGAACAAAGGATTTTACACAACGCAGATCAACTCTCCCATCCTATGACAAGATCCTGGACTGGAACTGCAGTCAACCATGTGGGAGTCGAGTGCCACCATGCCACATGCTGGCCCCTCCATTTCTTCCTTTCCCCATTGCCACCCACCCTGATCCAAGCTACTGACAATGTTAGACTGGATTTTGCAGTAGCTTCCCCACTGGCCTCTCTGCTTGCTCTTCCTCTCTCCCTCCCTCCTACAACTCATTTACTGGATGGCAGCCAGATAGATCTTTCCTTTTTCTTTTTTTTAATGATTTATTTAATTTTATTTATTTATTCATTCATTTATTTTAATTTGACCAGAGAGAGACACAGAAAAATAGGGAAAATGAGAAAGCAAGCCACCAGGTCCAGGACTTGAACTGCGGTCAGCCATGTGGGAGTGTCCAGCGTCCCAGCCATCATGCGACCTGCTAGTCCCTGCCAAATAGATCTTTTATTTATTTATTTATTTAAAAATATTTCTTTATTTACTTTTGTTATTATTATTTATTATTATTTTTTAGTTTGACCAAAGAGACAGAGAGAGAGAGAAGGGCAAAGTGAGAAAGCAAGCTGCCAGGTCCAGGACTAGAACTGTGGTCAGCCATGTGGGAGTCCAGCACCTTAACCACTATGCCAACCTGCCAGCCCCAAGATAGATCTTTTTAAATACATGAGAAAAAATAAGCTTGTATCAGTATAGTAGTTAGAGGCAGGTAGGTAGATAGGACTCTGGGAAAGATACTTTCTGGGTGATGGTAACTCTGTTTCTTGGTTTAGGTTTGGGTTACATAAATATGTGCATTTGTCAAAACTCACCAGTTAATACACTTAAGATGCATTTCATTGTATATAAACTAACTCGGGGTGAACGGAATTGAACCATAGCTAAGGATGCATTCAGAGTGGTGCCTGCAATAGACTTTGAAATACATAGAAAAAGAGACCACTGATGGGGCAATGGTGCAAGATAACAGAAATGCAACAGAAGAAAGGATAATAAAATTTTATTGTGTGCTCCCAAAATCTGAAGAGGAGAATGGAGGAGAAGGGATTGAGATGTGGCCACCCCCCTCCCCCGGGGATTCTCTGTCTTTCTCTGATGAGCACACACGCTCTAGGCAAAAATCTAAAATATATATATATATATTATTCATGAATTCTAGGTGGTGAACATGGAGGTTTTCAATGTACATTTGAAAGTTTTCATAATAGGGACCAGCAGGTGGCATATTGGTTAAGGTGCTGGACACTCCCACATGGTCAAGCATGGTCCAGGTCCTGGACCTGTTGGCTTGCTTTCTCACTTTCCCTCTCTGTCTCTCTGTGTCTCTCTGGTAAAATTAAAATAAATGAATGTGGGCAAGTAGGTGGCGCAGTTTTAAGGGTGCTGAATTCCCACAATGGTCTACCGCAGTTTGAGTCCCAGAACTGATGGCTTGCTTTCTCACTTTTCTCCCTCCCTCCCTCTCTCTCTCTCTCTTTCTCTCTCTCTCTCCTCTCTGGTCAAATTAAAATAAATAAAGTTAAATATAATTTTTTAAGAGGTTTTTGCTATAGGGCACGTGCACTCCCCAGACAGACAGAAAGAGACAGAGAAACAGAAAGCGAGAAATCACCTCCCAGGGGGGACGGCCACGCTGCAATCCCTTCTCCTCCATTCTCCTCTCAGGATCTTGGGTACGCATGCACACATGCCTGGCATGAGTTTAAGCCACCGGGTCCGGGACGCGAACCACAGTCGACTACATGGGAGTCCAGTGACATAGCCATTACACTAACTGCTGGTCCCAAAATATAATTTTTTTGAGAGGTGTTTTGCTATAGGGTGCGTGCACTCACCATAAAGACAGAGAGAAATAGACAGAAAGCAAGAAATCACCCCCCAAGGGAGGATGGCCATGCCACAATCCCTTCTCCTCCATTCTCCTCTCAGGACCTTAGGCATGCATGCACACACACCCAGCATGAGTTTAAGCCACTGGGTCCGGACTTGAACTGCGGTCGACTACATGGGAGTCCAGCGACATAGCCCTTATGCCAACTGCTGGTCCCAGTTAAATATAATTCTAAAAAATAATAATAAAAAAATAAAATAAATAAATGAATAAATAAAACTAAATAAAATCATTCTTTTTTAAAAAAGAAAGCTCTTATAGGACCAGCAGTTAGCGTAATGGCTATGTCACTTGACTCCCACGTAGTTGATCACAGTTTGAGTCCCAGACTTGGCAGCTTAAACTCACACCGGGCACATGTGCATGCGTGCCCAAGATCCTGAGAGGAGAACCATTCCCCCTGGGGGCTGATTTCTCACTTTCTGTCTCTGTCTCTGTCTTTCTGGCAAGCACACACACCCTATAGCAAAAACCTCTAAAAAAAAAAAAAGAAAGCTCTTATAATAAAATGTTAAATACAAATACAACGCAAAGAAACTGCTCTGTTGAGAACCCTCCAAACAGCTTCCCTTTGCACTGAAACTAAAATGCAAAGTTTTTCCCAAGGCCCTGCAAGACAGCCCTGTAGCCCTCGCTCTCCCCCTCATACATTCAATCTTTCAGACAGCAAACATTTATGAACACACACTGCGTGCCAGATCCTGCGCCAGCTGCTCTGGATACAGCAGTGAGCCAAACCTATGGTCATTCCTGCCGGCAAAGACCTGACATTCTGCCCTCTTCCTCAACGAGCCCACTCCCCTGGCAGGCCCTTGTATTTCCTGAAACTGTCTTAATTTCCATTTATTTACAGGTGGCTATGAGGTCAGGGAGGGCAGGGCCCTTCTCTCTTTGGCTCATAGCTGTTAAGCTCAGGTCTAAAACAAAGCCTTGTTTATAGCTAGAACAGCAGTGCAAATAATAATCAGTTGAAGAACTTTTCGCTAACATCATTTAGCACTTGTTATTCACGCTCTAGGCCCTGCTTGAAACTGCGCGCATGTGTATACCTATTTAATCCTGAAAACCAGCCCTATTTTACAAGAATGAACAGAGGCACAGAGACTCTAGGCTGTGAACTCAGTAGCCTAGTTTCAGACATTCGGCTCCTAACCACTGTAAGCACTGCCTCTGAATGAGTGAATAAAGGAATGAATGAATCGATCAGCCATTCCAACTGGCCTGAGCTCACGTGCTAGCTCTGCCATTCGTTAGCCCGGGGCATCTAACACCAAACGATTTACCTTCCTGGACCTGGAATTCTTTATCTCTAAAGGTCAATCCCTCGTCCTAGTTAGTGAAGATGTAAGAAGCTGAGTGACATCGGCTCAAAGACACCACACACGCGCGCACGTACACACGAACGCACGCCCGGGATACAAGAAGAAGCGAGGCAGGAGCTGGGCAGAGTGGCGCGGGGTCACCGCCAGGCGCGGGGTGTGGCCACCTGCAGGCGGCCAAAGTCTCCGGCTTCCAGGTTCCTCCTGTTTGTCTACGCCCTACCTGCGGCTAGAGGCGCCGTCTCCGCCCCCAGAGCCCCGGGTAAACCCGGGCGTCCTGGAAAACCTCCGTTGGAGCGTGCGTCCCCAGTACCTGGCGGCGGCGGTGGTTTGGGACAAACCTAGCGGCGGGGAGAGGCGCTGGAGCGCAGGCTGGGGGCAAGCGGGCAGGGGGATGGGCTAGCCGCCACGCCCCCTCCGCCTGATTTCGTGGGGGAGGGAGTCGCCCGGCTCCCGCCCCTAACTGGCCCAGCCTCTTAGAGCGGCGCCCCACACCGTCC